GGGTGAGGCTGATTTAAACTGCCGGCTTGCTACTTCCTATCTTAGTCACTGATATAGTATGCAGCCCTGAAAAAAGCTAATTGTTAGCAGAAACTGTGATCGCATCTTAAAGGGGTACCAGCTCAACTTCAAACACTGACGGCTAAACTAGGCCCTTCAATATTTTTAAAAATGTCTGAATGGCTTTGAAAAGGCAGCAGATCAGAAATTGCAAATTTTAGGAAAAAATATTCCTTTTTTTTCCTTTTTATTTGCAAAGGCTGCTGAACCTAAAGTCCAGAATCCCCCCCCCCCCTAAAATAGGGTCCTGAAGACAGGCATTAAGAGGCAGGGAACTCCATTACTCCCTTATCGGTCTCGCCAGGAACTCAATCAGAGGTGCAACAGGCAAGTTTGAAACTCCCTTCTTGGCTAATAAGGCAAATGAGCTTTTTGCACAACGAACAGCAAGAAATGTGGTTGTTTTTACAGGCCCTAAAAGAAAGGGGAGGGTCAGCTCTCGGTTATCCCCTCCTTAAAAAGTTTCCAGGGCCCAAGTGCGGAATTTGTGCAGAATTTTTCAAACCGCCGCACCTCCGCACAATCTCCTCCATCCGTGGATTCCCACAATCCGGGAACCCAAGTCAGGGAACTCACTCACATGGTCCCAAACCTGGCTTGCTTTATTAGCCCCGCAGTTTGTTCCTCCTCTGGCTTAGTGTCCAATGGTTGTGTGAACCCTAGATTGGGTTAACTTTGTAATGTCAGACGTTCCCCCCCCCCCAATGCCACCCCTAACAGTGTTTGCAACTCCGCCCAATTCAAACGACTTTCGCCAGAAAGATGCACCGCTCATTCAAACCTGGGAAATATTCCAAGGTTTGGGGAACAGGGCAAAAGCCCCCCCACCACCGGGAGCGCCCCCTCCCTGTAGGCCTACCTTGCAAGGTTGACAGGCCTCGCCCTCCACCCAGCCCCCCCCCAAAAAAAACCCCGGAGGAGCGTCATTTGTAGGAATGCGCTTTCAACGGTGCCAAAGCGAAGTAAGCGCGCAGCTTAGTCGCGATCCAAAGCCGGCGCTTTCCGCAAGAGATCACTTATCTAGAACGGACTAGAATAGAGCCGGAAGGGACCTTGGAGGTCTTCTAGTCCAGCCCTCTGCCCAAGCAGGAGAACCTATATCATCTCAGATGGGGGGGGGGAGAAATTGCTAATTCTTAATTGTTAATTGTTAATTGCTAATTGTTAATTCATCCCCCTCCTCGCCAGATCTCGTTCTCCCCCACCCCCATTCTCAGGATCGCCCCTTCCCCAATTCTCCCCCCCCCCGCAAAACGAGGCGAAACTGTCTCTCTTTCTCCCCCCCCCCAAACCCAACTTAATCCGGAGCAGAGGGGGGGGGAGAAGGCTGTAAAGCGAAGTGGAGCCCCCGGGAGCTTTTGCTCACCTCCGCGCGAGCTGCATTCCCCTCCTCGGCGGCCGCCTGCACCGGCCTCGGGGCGATCGCTGGAGCCGCGACGTGCAGAAGATGTAATCCCGAACGCGCGACTCGCGAGTCGTGAGAACGCGAGGGCGGGCAGCCACAGCTGATCGGCCCCGCGGCTCGCCCGCAGGCCGGAGTCCGCCGCGGGGGCGCCGAGCGCTCTAATAGCAGCGCGTCGCATCACATGAGCCTTGAACCCTCCCCGCCCGGGCTCCGCTCCTCCTCTTAAGGACGACCGGGTGAAAAACCACACACACACAAACACACATTTGCGCATCCCCTGCCTGCAAAACACACACACAGACACAAGACACACACACGCACACAAGCCCTGCGCATCCCCTGCCTGCAAAGCGCAGCGGGATCCCGAGCAGCCCGCGCAAGAGACCAGCCGGGGGATTGCAACCGCCGCCCGACTTGCTGGCGAGGAAGCCGGCTTGGAAGCGTGCTCTCCCCCCCCCTAAAGGTGGAGAAGGACACGTGTCATGGGACGGTTGCAAGGAGGGCAGGGCGGCCCCCTTGACTCGGGTGTCCAGGTGTGCCTGGACTCCCAGCAGCTTGTTTAGTGGCCGTTCAGACGTGCAAGTGCACAAGTGACTTGGCTGCGGAGATTCTCCGTCATCCAGGTCAGTGTTATCCCCCCCCTTTTTTCCCCCCACTGGGCTTTCTTGGTTTTTTGTTTTTTTTTTGAAGACGTTTCGCTTCCCATCCAGGAAGCTTCTTCAGCTTCTCTGGAAGTTGAAGAAGCTTCTTGGATGGGAAGCGAAACGTCTTCAAAGAAAAAACAAGGAAGCCCAGTTTGTGAAAAGGCATCTTTGGGATTACAAGTGATTTACGGGCTATTTTTCACACTTAACAAATGTGTTTGACTCGACTTCGTTGGCCTTTGTAAATAAACACCACACAAAATGTTGCCAGCCTGCCTTTCATCTTCTTCCAAGGAAAAATGAAGGAAAAGTTACATTTAGACCATCATTCCTTTAATTTAAATTGAGAAGTTTTGGGGTTTTTTTTCCCCCTGCCCTGAACGATGGCAGATTCCTTTAAAAAAAAAAAAACCAGCAACTTTTTAACACTTCCTGCTACTCAAAAGCAGATTTAAATAGTTTCCTGAACCCTAAAACAAAGCCAAAACTATTTTTCCCCCCCAGGCTCTGTTGGAAATATTAAAGGCAGACATGAACTGACCTGGCTGCATGTTCCCAAGAGTTAAACATAAACGGGAAGTTTAAGTTTCCAGTCCTGAGTGAACTGATTTAAGAAGGAAATATGCCTTTTTTTTTTTAGCCACTGGCAAATCTCCACCTAAGTGCTATTCAACTGGTGAATCACTTCTCTGTGGCCTTAATATCCTTTTTCCCCGAAAAACGCTTGTCTTTCCACTGTTGTCTGCACATCAGCCCTGCGAGGTGGGCTCAAAGGCACTTAGCAAACTTCCGGGCTGCTCTCTTTAGCAAAACCTCCATGGTCCGAGGCAGTATATCTCTGCCAATATTACAGCAGCAGGAATCTAGGACTGCTGGGATGGCACCAGCTTGGGGAAGTCCAATGTAAAGTGATGGCAGGCAAGTAGAAGTATACCCATTTTATGGATGGTGCGTCGAGAGGGTGAGGCTGTCCTGTTGCCCTCGCCGTGCACCACCGATTAGCCAATTCTTCCCCAGCGTCACCGATTAAGTCTCTTTCCTTCCATTTGGCACAGATGGGTTTGTTCTTTCTTATCTCCCAGCAGCTGTGAGATCAGGACTGTTGTGTACCAGCAAAGCGTTGTTTTCTTGCGTGGACCAGCTGACCAATCCCAAGCACAAAATTCTCTGTGACGGATGTCACCAGCGGCTGCCAATCTAACTCAAGAAAACAGCATTTTGCTGACCTTCGGAGTGGTTTTTCTTGCAAACAGGCTTTACATTTTCCCCACCGTTGCACAAAGATACGCAACCGCCCACGCAACACTGGACAGGCTTTGCGTGCACTGGAGGCACAACAGCTGGTCTGCTTTAAACTGAAACACACTTGGTGTGGAACGGAAGCGACCCGTCGTCCCAAGGACCCAAATAGAGCCTCCCAAGCTGCAGGCAGTCTACCAGAAGCCAAACCAAAGTCACAGTCGGAGAATGCAAGAGCCAAAATGATTTATTACAATTTTCTTTCTTTCTTTTTTTTACAAAATTTTAAAAGTCATTCTGGGCGTATAAATACTGAACCCCGATCCTTTGGGACGAAGGAAGATTTAGTATAAAAATATCAGCAGTCTTCAAAATCACAAGTGGAAAACAACCTGTTTAAATCAAGAGGTTTTTTTTTTTCAAAGGTGGCCACTTGAAGTGGGGTGGACCTCAACTCCCAGAATTCCTCAGGCTGGCTGGGGAATTCTGGGAGTTGAAGCCCACACACCTTAAGTGGCCAAGCTTCAAAATACCATAGCAGGAAATAGCTCTTTAAGGCACTTTTCTTATTATTGCAGAAATTCCATCAAACACAGTCCATCTCTGGCTTAAATTCAGAAGCAGCAAACGTGGTTTGTCCCATCTTTTTATGCTAGCGTAGCCTTCTGTAAGTTGCTGCCCTCCAGCCTTGAAGGATTACAGTCCCCATCATCCCCACCCACCCATTATTTGCTGTTTCTCAATTGTTGTTTTTTTTGCAAAACATTCTATCCTGAAAATAACAATTCTGAAAAGTAGGAAATGGCGCCACCTGGTGGTAGAAGTACATTTCTCTATTTTTTTTCCCATTTGCCCCAACTCAAGTTTGAGCAATTGTTTTGACACCAAATCAAAACCAGATTGCAAGATAAATCTCCTATCTGAAGCAGAATTATGCTGGTTTGAACTGGAGGGGCAGCAGCAAAGTTGGCAAAACTTTGTTTGGTACAGGTGCAATCTCAGTTCGCCTAACTGCACCCGCTCAGTTTGCCTAATCGTATTCCCAAAACTGAATTTCTGACAGTGGATGTCTTTGCATTGCAGAATGTATATTTTTACCTGGGATTAAACAGCAGATAGGTCTGTGAGGTAGGTTGTTTAATATATAAACCCCTGGTTGAGGGTGGGGGGAGAACTGAGGCACACAGCAAAGTTGTTCCTTGTCCAGGAAGGTAGAAAGAACTGACAAATATTTCCTACCTCTCCCAATTTTCCACCTGAAGGCTTCCAGCGGCCAGTCTGAGCCAGCGGAACTCAGCGCCACAAGGCGTGGTCGTGAATGCCATCTCCGATGGCTCAATTAACCAGAATTAGATAAATTGATAAGGGAGGAAGCCTTTAAGGAAGACTACACATTTTTTTCAGTGAAGCTTACAAAGGATTCCCCAAATCACAGCTGCCTCACAGACAGGAAATTAGGCCACTTCCTGGGTGGTGAGAAAACCTGGCTGGCTGGCTATTAGACAGTTTAATGAGAAGAAAAACAGCTTAGCCTGCGGTTGTCCATTAAGGTTAAAACAAAAAAAAGGGCGTGGGTTTTTTTGTTTGGTCTCAATTCATCCCCCCAGGCAATTTTCACACCACACTGTTGAGAAATGCCAGGTGAAAGGGGGGGGGGGACTCACAGCTTCAGAAAGATCACCCCATTAAGGACTCATAGTCAATATACCAGGATACCTGGCCTTTTTGGGGCTTCACGCCCGATATTGGCCATTTCCGGGGCTCGTTCCCGGCCCGGCTGACAATGGACACAGTCTCGTGTTTACCTTTCCCCATAACTAAGACCGACACCTGCCTGGCTTTGTTGATAAGCGGCAAAGTGATCGTCATGCGCTGGTGAGGTTTCGTGGGGCTCTCGGCAAAAATGACGTTTTTATCCCCCTTGAGGCCCGCCGAGCCTGGGAAGAGGGAGGCCGTGTGCCCGTCGGTGCCCATTCCCAGGATCACCAGGTCGAAGCTGGAGTTGGCCACCAAGGCCCCGATCTCGTTGGCGTACAGCTCCGGGCCTCGGTCGTCCTCCACGCAAAGCCTCCGGTTGAGATGCACCGGCATCGGATGGACGTTGAAATAAGGAATCCGGATATATTGGAGTAAGTGCTGGTGCAGGTGGCCGAAATTCGATTCCAGATCGGCCAGCGGGACGCAGCGCTCGTCCACCAGCCACAAATGCGTCTGCTTCCACGGGAAGCCGTAGCAGTGCCTGCTGAGTTGCCGGAACAAGGCCAAGGGGCTCGATCCGCCCGAAAGCGCCAAGTGGAATTCGCCGCTCCTCCGGATGGCAGCCACCGCCGCGGTTTCTATGTCGGACGCCAGGCGGCCAATGAGGTCGTCTGCCCAGGCGGTAATCAACCGGCTCTCTCGAAATGTGGAAAGCAGGGTCTGGAATCGGTCTGCTGTGTGTTTCCCCTCAGGGTCGATCACCTGAAGGGTCTCTCTGGCTAGGAAAGCCACTTCCTGGCCAGCCACCTCAAAATCCAGCAGGTGCCCATTTTCCTGACCGCCGGGATACAGGCGGGGTGAGTCGCGGCTCAGCTGATCCAGCAACGGGGACCAGAACGCCCACGAAGCCAGCAGATTCTCCGTGGTGATGAAGGATTCCTTTTTCCCATGATAGATCGCGGAGAGCAGGAAGGCGTAAGCCTCCCTCTTGACCGCGGGGACGTAGACGTGATAATCGGAGAGACTTTGTCCCCAGAGGCGCAGCTGAGGGCGATCCAGGAACTCTTTCCAGGCGCCGGCGGGCATGGCTGGCTTAAAGAGGTTACGGCTGACTAGGATGGCGGGTGTATTCAGCTCTCCGTGCCCGATGTAGAAGATGATCTGTTTCGGCTTGCACTGGCTGTGCTCGGCCTCCCAGGCGCTCTCCGTCTGGACGCAGTGCGCCTGGTTTTTGAAGAGGATCCGGACGTAGCTGACCCGTTCGTCGAGGACTTTGCCGGACGTGAGGACGAAAGGCACCCCTTCCCAGCGTAGGTTGTCCAAATGGACCAGCACCCCTAAAATGACAAGAGAATGGGGTGGCTACGGGGCTTCTGACCCACAGACGCACACCCTCCCCACCGAGGCCAGGTTCGCGGGAGTTATAGTTTAGCCTCCAAGATAAAACCACAGCAGGTGAATTGAACCACGGTTTTTCCAAGCAGAAATAACCATTCTGCTCAACTGAACCCCAAAAATCTCAAAGTGGGGGCTAATTACAAGCCCCATCATCCCCAGCCAACAAAACCACATCAAGGACTGCACTTATAGGGCCACGAATGGGGGGAAATATGTGTCAACCCCCATCCCATGTCCTAGTCTCCTCTAAGTTTATCTTTTTTTTTTTTCCAGATCCTACAATTGCACCTGGATTTTCACCCCTCTCCAGCTGGCAAATAAATAACAATTCAACTGTTCTAGTTTAGTTTAATGAAGAGATGGACAAGGGGTGACAGGATAGCAGTGTTCCAATATCTCAGGGGCTGCCCCAAAGAAGAGGGAGTCAAGCTATTCTCCAAAGCGCCTGAAGGCAGGACAAGGAGCAACGGATGGAAACTAATCAAGGAGAGAAGCAACCTGGAACTAAGGAGAAACTTCCTGACAGTGAGAACAATTAACCAGTGGAACAACCTGCCTCCAGAAGCGGTGAATGCGCCAACACTGGAAGTTTTTAAGAAGAGACTGGACAGCCATTTGTCCGAAATGGTATAGGGTTTCCTGCCTGAGCAGGGGGTTGGACTAGATGACCTCTAAGGTCCCTTCCAACTTTATTATTATTATTATTATTATTATTATTATTATTATTATTATTATTATTATTATTATTATTATTATTATTATTATTATTATTATTATTATTATTATTATTGTTCTGAAGACCGCCGTTCCTTTTATTTCTCCTCCCCTTCCGTTCAACAGTTCGAAATCCTTCAAGAAAAGTGCTTTTTTTTAAAAAAAAAAAGTAACAATCCAGCCTTGGAAAGGAGTCCAAATGCTTTGCTCCCAGGCAGAAGATGCCGAGTTGATGGAAACTCAGATGGTGTTGCCCTAAAAGATAAGGCCTGGAGGGAGACTGAAATTCCTATTTCTCCCCATCCCTCCTTCAACCAGCCTGCTCTGTGGGCAACTGTGGGCCTGAACAGGAACTTTGCACCTACCTTATAGGGACGTTGTGATGCTCAAGGAACTTCTGGCCCTTGTTATCAAACAAATTGATAAAATTTGTTTTTTTTCCAGCTGGCATTCTCAAAAACAAGAGGGAGGGGACTCCCCCACCCACCTGCCTTGGGTGTCAGATTTACCTGCGAACGTTGGGGTTTGGGTGAAATGGTCCTGCCCTTTCTGAAGCTCCTCCCTCACTTGGGCGCCGTACGCCTCGTACTGGCCAATCACGGCGCTGGTTTTTTCCAAGCTTCGCAAGGAGGAGAAAGCGCTAAGTTTGCTACGCAGAACGTCTCCCGCGCTGGTGAGGTTGGCCGGCAGCTCCATGGCGAGAGACATCAGGATTTCGGTGAGATGGTTCTGGTGCATGTCTCGGAGGACCCCGTACTGTTCGTAAAACTCCGTGCGATCTGGGCAAAGCAGGGACGGTAGCCGTGAGAAGCCCCCCCAGCCAGAGAGCTGAGCCCGCATTATAACCGCGGCATCGATTAATCTGCAGAATTAAAAGCTTTCCGCGCTTAGGCGGGCCATTTGCAAAATTATTCGTCGCACTCGGCAAGCCAGGAAACATTGTGCACCCCGGCTCTCTTCCCGGATGCTTCTTTGGCCTCCGCACCCTACTGTGGGATCACCTGGTGGCCTCCTGTTCAAGGACTACAGTGCCTGGGCCCATCCCTGCTTAGCTTTGGGGAACCCCTAAAGGCCATCTAGCTCAGCAAAGAGTGAGAAAGGAGCCAGTGGAGTTAACACAGACTCTCCTGCTGCAGTGTCCTTCAGAAAGGCGAGAAAAACCACTTTTGGTTACTCCGGTTTGTAACTGCAGCAGGAAGAGGGAAAGATATTTGCCCAACCAGTTTTTTTTTTTCCAACTCAAAATTCCGACGAACAATCCGCTTGCAGGAGCAAAACCGGTGTGCAACGCACCGAGAATTTCCTCCTTGTTCCCCAGCCAAAAAACCCTGGAATTTGCCAAGCTTAAAATGATTATTTTAGGAAATGGACGCTTGTTGCTTTTAATAACATAATGCATTGCTGGCAACGCGCACAGCCCAGACGCATTTCTGAGACTGCAGAAAAAACGGTGCTGGCGGGGAGCCAACACATCAGATGAGAACTGGGTGCAGGAAAACAGCAGCGTTGCGAGTTTTGCCCACCACAATAACTTCCCGAGGTTTCCCTGTTGACTTTCCACGGGCGAAATGAAGGCGCTTTTGTCATTCAGCGAGGGCTCTTCCTGTGTAATTAAGGCTAAGTCACTAGTCCTCGTGGCTTTTAATAAAGGGCTGATTTCCACAATCACACAGGATATCCTCTCGTAAGACTCAGGCCACTGGAATTCCACTCTAGCCGTGGAAAGCAACCGGCATGCATAAAATAAAAAGCCGATCAAATTAAACACAGGACTGTTTTCCAGCAGCTCTATCTGGCCTGCTAAGAAAGGGCAAATCCCCCGGATGGAGAGAAAATAAAGAGAGTTTAATGAATTGCTGAAGGCAGCCGATCCAAGTTAGGGAGCTAACTTAAATGGGAAAAAAGAAATTTAAGTTGGAAACTTAAGGGAACTGCAGCGTGGAAAGGCTGAAGCCTCCAGAAAAAAAATAAAATAAAATTGGAAATCAGTCTTGCTTGCGGAGAATTCATTTACATTAATAATAACATCGTTACGTCCACCTCCCTCTTGATTCTTCCTCCCGACCCAAATTGATGCCGACGTACTTTTGACGTCCACCGTCTCTTTCAGAACAATTTCCACACGTTCCACGTGATGCTGGTTCCAGAGAGGGTCCAATTTTTCTCGGTTTTGATCCCGGAAGGGTAAAATGTGAGCCACCACCTTCAAGAATGAGAGAAAAAAGGGGAAAATTTTGCATATTTTTTGGGGGGGGAGAAACATATTGGAAGCCCCTCTCTTCTAGGGATGGATCTTGCAAGCCAATTGTGTCAAAGACCCAACTCCGATCAATTTCACCTTTAAATTTGAAGATCTAATCAAATTCTCTTCCGATCAGGGCTGCAAATTATCGATTAGGCCTTTAATAATTAAAGTTGCATTTGGTTCAGTCCAGGCTGTTGTGCGTAAAACGTGGGGAGCAAATTAGCTGAGCGGTTTCCTAATCCCCCCCCCGTCAGAAATATACCTAATTGGCTAGAAGTGGGATCCTGATTAGTTCGGAGCGCTATTCAAACATTCAGGAAGCTAAACTTCTATGTTACAGGTTAAGTCCTCGACTTACGATCGCAACTGAACCCAACAGTTGTCGCTAAGCGAGACACTGGTTAAAATGGGAGTTTTGCTCCATTTTACGACTTTTATTGCTGCAATTGTTAAGTTAGTAACATGGTTGTTAAGTGACAGCTTCCCCATTGACTTTGCATGTTCGGAAAGCCGCAAAAGGGGGTCATGTGACCGCGGGACGCTGCGACCGTCGTAAATAGGAGTCAGTTGCCCAGCGTCCGAATTTTGATCACGTGACACCAGGGATGCTGCAAAAATCGTAAGTGTGCCAAACAGTCATAAGTCACTTTTTTCAGTCCTGCTGTAACTTCAAATGGTCGCTAAATGAACTGTTGTAAGTTGGGGACTAGCTCAACATATATATATATATATTTAAAGAAAAAAATATATGTTATGTGTTTGAAGAAAAGAGAAAACTCTTCAAGTTACTCAGAAAATTTCAGGCTTTTGTTGCGCTCTTCTATGTCTATACCCAATCAACCCCTCCCTTACATCCTAAACGCACTCTGCACGTACCCAGAGGCCCCCCTTTCTCTCGATCTCTGTAGAACTGAAAATCCCAATTTTGGGCCCCTCGTTAAAGCCAAATTATCCAATTTCCAGGCAAGATCTGACAGCCCACAGCAACATGCTTCTATCCCCGCCTGCTAAGATCCCCTGCCTTGCAGAATGACGGATCCTTCTCAAACCAGAAAAAGAAAAAAAACAAGGGGGAGGGGGGGCTTGGAAGAAGAGAGGGGAAAATTGCAGGCTTTGCTGCCAGCTTATCAAATTAAAAGCCTCCTGTGGGGAAATTTTGGAATTTGGCAGCCCAGCAGAGATGGAGGCCGAGACGCGGAAAAAACAAAAAAACTCTTACTCAACAAAACTGAAGGGACAACCTTGGATTCCTGGCATGCCCGTTCTGTCTTTTTGCACACTCACTCCCCGCCACACTCTCCCGCACACAACTGCAGTGGGTTAGCTCACGGGGGTGGGTGGGGGAACCCCAAATTAAATAAAATCACCCTCGTTTTCCTACTCTAAGTAGGTCAAAAAAGACATTTACTGTTTGTCCGAAACGTAAAAGGTTTCCTGCCTGAGCAGGGGGTTGGACTAGAAGACCTCCAAGGTCCCTTCCAACTCTTCTCTTCTCTTCTCTTCTCTTCTGTTCCATTCCGTTTCTATTCTATTCTATTCTATTCTATTCTATTCTATTCTATTCTATTATTTCATTCCATTCCATTCCAATCTATCCTATTCTATATCCTATCCTATTCCATTTTCTATCCTATTTTATCCTATCCTATCCTATTCTATATCCTATCCTATTCTATTCCATTTTCTATTCCATTTTCTATTCTATTCTATATTTTTATTTTTTATATTTCTTTTTATATTGTGCTTTTATTTCCCGTAAGCCTCCCCGAGTTACCGCTGAGCGAGTAAGCGGCAATATAAATTGTCTAAATAAATAAATAAATAAACAAGCCTCTTAATCACCCTACAAGCCCCTCTGGCTGGGGATGATGGGCACTGAACTTCAACGCCTCTAGAGATCTCGGCAAAAGCCAGAGTCACGCCTCTTAAGAAGCGTCAAATCCCCCACCCCTTGCTGCTGGGTCCCCCTCCCGATCAAACCAGGATTCCTCCTCTCTCCCATCCAGGTGTTGCCGTGGGCAATTCAAAGCCCGTCCAGAGTCTCCCCCCACCTCACCTGCTTCCCCAGGTAGTGATCCACCCGGTAAATCTCCTCTTCGCGGAAGACCCTCGCCAGCTCCTCAGCCAGCTGTTGCGCAGACACCCAATCGTGTCCAAAGGGTTTCTCCAGCACCACCCGCAACCAGGCGCCGGAGGGAGGCCTGCAGCTGCTGTTAATGTGCCGGGCAATTTTGGCGTAGGCGAACGGCGGCACGGACAGGTAAAAGATGCGGCCGCTTTCCACCAGCTCCTCCTGAGCGAGGCTGGTCTTAATGCCCTGGCTGAGCTTGGCATAGTCTTCTTCCCCTTTGAGCTGGTGGTACTCTGTTAATTTCAAGAACTGGTCCTTTAGCACCGCGCATCTGTTGGGCGGCACCTCCGTCGAGCAGGCCAGCTTCTTCAAGGGCTCAAACATCAGCTTTCGCCCCACCTCGGGCTCCTGCTGAGTGGCCCCATAGAAGGTGAAACTGTGCCCGTTGCTCACTTCGTCCAGGTAAAGCTGGAACAAGCTTTGCCACAGGTATTTTTTGGCCAGATCCCCCGTGGCTCCCACGAGGATGACCGACACGTGGCCCCGAGATTCCTTGCTTTCGGTGGGGAAAATCCCCCAGAACAAGATGACGGCCAGGGTCCCTTGAAAAAGCATCTTTAAGCGCTCTGGAAAGAAAAAGAGGAATAGAAAATGAAGTCTTTTTTTGAAACCGGGAAGCAAAAACAAAAAATAAATAACATTTGCATCTTTGGACTTAAGGCTTTGGACCGTTTCAGTGTCCACTTTGTACCCCCTGTGAGGCAAGAGTTCAAATTTCGCATTTGCTGGCTCCGAGTTAAGATATTCTTGAGCAAAAAAAAAAAAGCATTTGTTGTAAGCATCGTGCTTCGTAGGTCAACAGGTTTTCCCGGCGCAAAAAAGAGAAGCAGGATTTCCACTGCTTATATTCCTTTTCACTCCTATGTATTGAAAATTTGCACACGGATAGTCCTTGACTTACGAGCCACAATGGAGCCTCAAATTTCTGTCCCTAAGCGAGACACTTGTTAAGTCAGCATTGCCCCATTTTACAACTTTCCTGGCCCGGTTGTTAAGTGAGTCGCTGCAATTGTTAACTTAGGACTTAGCAGTTGTTAAGCGAATCTGGCTTCCCCCATTGATTCTGCTTGTCAGGAGATCGCAAAAGGGAACCACGTGATCCCGGGACACTGCAACCGTCTTAAGTACATGCCAGTTGCCGAGCATTTGAATTTTGATCACGTGACGTGCAACGGTTGTAAGTGTAAAAAAATGGCCCTTTTTTCAGTGCCGTTGTAACTCTAAATGGTCACTAAATGAACTACAATACATTCTAGTCCCGGGGTAGGCAACCTTGGCTCTTTTATGACTCGTGGACTTCAACTCCCAGAATTCCTGAGCCAGTGTGGCTCAGCTTGGAAACCTCTCCCTTTCCCCTCAGCATGGCTGGCTCAGGAATTCTGGGAGTTGAAGTCCACGAGTCATAAAAGAGCCCAGGTTGCCTACCCCGGGTCTAGAAGATTGCACAGATGTGATATAGGAAACAAAAGGCAGGATCATCTTTTACTAGCAACGATCCAATCTTAGTTTGATACTTATCCAGGAGTTTGTCAACACCTCCATTGAGGTTCAATCCAAACTTCTCCTTCCTGTAAATTATATATTATATGTACTTCGAATTTAGGAAAAAGGCCGATTTATCAGCCTTATATAGAAACTGGCAATTAATACTTCCTTGTTTGACAACTTTCTTTTACGAAGCGAGGAAAAAAAATGCTTTCGACACTCCAACGGTCCAACGGTTAGTCAAACAAAAATCCCACAGATTAAAAAAATAAACCAGCATTTCCTGGTGCAGAAGCCGCCCTCTCAGAAGGCAAAGAAAAGAAATGTATTAAATAGCAGTTAAAAAGCCCGGCCACACCCTCACCGATCTAGGCTGGGTTCACACAACACATTGAACTCAGATCTGCAAGAAAGTCACTGGCCACGTGTGGAAAATAGTCTTAATTGGATTGCTAAATTGAACCCTTGTTTAGTAGTTGTTTGTTTAAGCTGCTATGCAACGTTAGTCCGTTTGATTCTTTGCACAGGCTCACCCAGAAATGGGTTCATTTCCAAACATAGTTTTAAACAAAAGTTTGTTTTAAACCAGCCCATCTTTGCTGGATGTTCTGTTTTTATTTTATTTTTATTTTCCCCCCATTTCAGCTGCTCCCAGTCCCTTCTGAATGGGCAGAAAAGTGACAATTTTTTTTAAAAAATGTATTTTTTGTTTGTTTTAGAGCCAGCAAAAGGATTGGGCACCTTAAAAACTGCCCTTTGTGCTGAGGTTTCGGAGCAACAGTTGTCAAGAGTTGCCCACAAACATTTGCAATACATAGATAGATAATAGAGAGATAGGTAGGTAGGTAGGTAGACAGACAGACAGACAGACAGATGATAGATAGATGATAGATAGATGATGGACAGATGATAGATGATAAATAGGTGATAGATGATAGGTAGGTAGGTAGGTAGGTAGGTAGATAGTTGATAAACAGATGATAGATAGATGATAGATGATAGATAGATGATGGACAGATGATAGATGATAAATAGGTGATAGATAGATGATAGATAGATGACAGATAGATGATAGGTAGGTAGGTAGTAGGTAGACAGACAGACAGACAGACAGACAGACAGACAGACAGACAGATGATAGATGATGGACAGATGATAGATGATAAATAGGTGATAGATGATAGGTAGGTAGGTAGATAGATGATAGACAGATGATAGATAGATAGATGAATGACAGATGATAGATGATAAATAGGTGATAGATGATAGGTAGGTAGGTAGGTAGATAGATGATAGACAGATGATAGATAGATAGATGATGGACAGATGATAGATGATAAATAGGTGATAGATAGAGATATACGTAGATAGATGGAAACATTTGCAATAAATAAACAAAGAAAGAAAGAAAAAAATCCAGTATGCAGCCTGTTTTGGCACCACACCCCCTGCTTTTCTGCCATGCACAACCCCCCCCCCCAATATTGGACAGGGGTTGGCTTTGTCTATGCACACACACACACACACTGCAGTACGCTTTCAACAAACCCCAGTTTGAAAGAGTCAGCCTTCCTGAAGCATCTCTGCCTGGAATCAGGTGGGAAAATTCAGGCAGCTGTTTTTTTGCTGAAACTGGAAAATTTTGCCTCTAACCTGTTTCCAGCGGGAAAAACCAGTTTGTTGGGCCCAGACGCAACTCTGAGACGGTCACTTTCTGCTGATGTGCAAATAAATCCACCGGGATCAGCCAAGTGGATGGCTGGTTAATTGCTGACATATTAAATGGAATACTTTTTGCACACACAAGGTGCGTGTACACGTCAAGGAGATTTCTAACAAGAGATCAGAATACCCAAAGAAAATTCCAACCCTTTTTTTCCTTTTTTGAGGGTGGAATTCCTAGATTTGGGGAAGAAATTAAAACAGGAAGGAGATTTTTATTTTTTTTTTAAAAAAAGACAAATTTAGAGGAAGATTGGGGGGGGGGGGTTGTGTGTACAAAGCCAGGAAAAGTGGGGGGGGGGCAGGTCGTGCATTGTTCCCCCACTCCAGATCTGGGTGCAAATCCGGAGGAAGAGGGGGGCACCCCTAAACTCGGTTGCGCCCCATCCAACCGTCCTCCCCCCCCCTTTTTCTTCCTTGCAAGAGACGCCTGCAAGAGGCGATCTGCTGGCAGGCAAGGCGGAAGTGAGCTTGCGAGTCGATCGTGGAACGGATCCCCACGACGCTCAGCCGCGCAAGGTGGCCTGCGCCCCTAATCCAGCAGGCGCCTTTTTGCAAAAGCGCCTGTTCCCAAAGCGCGCAGGGGAAAATGCATGCCCAGATTTTAAATAATTGTTAATTTTGGTTTGCAATAGGAGAACGTGAAGAAGGCCCCCTCCCCGCTTGGCCAGCCCATCCTTCCCTTCCCCCCCCCCTTGCATTTCCCTCCCCCACGCAGGAAAGACCCACTCACCTCCCTCCCACGGGCGGCGTTGGAGAAGCGCAAGGCGGAATCCGGGAAACGGGCGACGGCGCCAACGCGCAAATTTCTCCCTTCGCCTTCTCTCGGCCGGGCAGCTCCGCCTCCTCTTCTCAATGGCAAGTACGAGGGAGGGGTGGAAAAAAGCTTATGGTTCACGTCGGGCCGGAGCGACCGGTTATGAAGCGGGCGGGCAAGCGAGTCTTCCTTGATTCTATTTTTATTCTTATTTCCATCCCATTTTCCTCGGTGTATTTATTCGGCGGCAACAAAGTAGAAACTTGGGGCCCGGTATGAAAGTATCCACCTAACAAGCGTTTTGCGCATTTACGTAGCAGTTGCGTGGCTTGCTTGCCAACCGGACGCAGGTATGGGATTCCAGGTCCCATCATCCATCAGCAGGTGGGGTAGGGGGTTATGGGAATCCAATCCCAGGGGATCTGGTGGGGGGTGGAATTAGGGGACTTGAGGTGGCGCCTTCCAGTTGGTGGGAGAGGCCCTTAACTAAGTTTTCAATAAAACTAAATTTTATTTATTGAATCAAATATTGTACATGTTCTTTATTTGCCTTCTGACACTGTTTCTCCAAGAAGCATTTAGCAGCTCTGAGCTGCCTCCTGAGAAACTGGCATAACTTGCTGCGTTCAGATTTGCTACTTATACAACTCTACCTCGTTGTGGTCTAGTGCATTGTTAAGTATAACCCCGTGGGCGTCAAAGCATCATTTAGGACCAGACACATACTGCAAACCAAGCTAGCTCTTGTAGCTCCACCCTACAGGGAATAAGGGGACCACACTACAGGTGGGGTTTCCAGGCCTACCTTTAAGGAATGTTGTGTGGACAAATGCCAAATGGACCGTTCAGATGAATTTCTCCTTTATTTGGGGAAAAGGAGGACAAACTGGGCTTCGGTGTGAACCGGGATTGATTTAATCACCTTTAACTGAACAAGCCACGATGCACTGGCTTCCTTAAGAAGTTGTGCCTTAAACTATGGCTGGCCGGCCACAACAGCCAGCTTTGTGCAGAGTATTAAATATATCATGGTTTGTGGTGAACGGACGACCTTGCATTGCGAGCCCTGAATTTCTCTCTCCTTCTTCTTAGGAACCTTGAAAGCCGTTCGACCTCTTCAGCGACGAGACGGTGGGTCTGCAAGCGCCCCCCCCACCCCAGCCTGCAGAAGACTGCAGTGAACTGCGCAGCCAGCTAACATGTCCAGAGCTGCAGAGAATGCAGCTGAGAAATGCTGCAGTTCCAGCAGGATGGTAAAAAAAAAAAAAAACAATAGTAACAATGAATTAAATATGGCAAGCTTCCCTGTCCTTCCTGCCTCCTTCAATTTCTAGATGGGTTAAGGCACCCACAAACACACCCTTGTTGTGTTGGAGCCGGGAATCCACAATTTTGCACTTTGACAAGAATAGCTGCCTATATCCCAAGTCCTTGGGAAGGACTCAATAATAGGTAGATAACAATGCCAGATCTAGTCTGAAGATCTGGTTGACTGTGAGACTGACCATCTAGTCTGGTGAAAAGGAGGACGAGGGGGGACATGATAGCAGTCTTCCAGTCTCTCAGGGGCTGCCCTAAAGTAGAGGGAGTC